AATTAGAATAAAAAAGGAAAAAAAAAAAAACATTCTTTCAGGGTAAATAAAAACATTGAAGTCCAAGCTAACAAAATGTATTAAGCAAGCAAAACATTTAAGAAGTCTAATTTACTTAACAAGGATATTTAAAAACACACTTCTTAACAAATGTATTGTTTTAGGCTGTTTGTTATTAACAAAAGAAACATACAAATCTTTTTTTTAAATCTTATTTTAATTAAGACTTCATTTTTACCACAGACTAACAAATTCAGGAAAGTTCCTGACTGCACAATGCAGCACGCTGTCCCAGTTTACTGCAGTCACAGTAAAAACAGCAGGGGGAGATGCAGCTCCCCTTTCAAAAAGCAGTGACAGTTCGAAAAAATAATTATTATAGATGTTTGCAAACAAATGAAGCAGAAATTCTAAAATAATTTGTCATAAACAACAACATCCAACTGCAGCCAAATGTCAGCAGGACTAGCACACCCACAGAGACAAATCTCAGATAAAAGTGTATGTGATAACAAGATATTAACAGCCCTGCAAACCAAGCAGAGTTGTGATGGACTTGGTGGTAGGAGTTAAGGAAGATTCAGACTTTTAAATCTAATCTACCAAAACAAAATCGGTTTAAATACGTTCTAATTTCACCTTTAAATAGAGACGAGATGTACGTACAGTAATATAATCTCAATATGGACAAAGCTCTTCTGTCTCAGAGGTGTTTTATTACTGAAGGGACTGAATCACTAATACTGCTTTCCCACTGGCCCATTTAAACCTGGGAACAATCCGCTCTTAGTGGCAGTGGTAACAGCTCAATGACCCCATGTTGACCTGGGTCAAATTACTTGGCAAGCGACCCGGGTTACATCTGCGTTCAAATGCCTTGGCTCTGATCGGCATACAGTGGGAACAACAGACCCAGATCCACCCGCTAATTTGGGTGATACTATTGAGAACAATGTAAGGACGTCAACACACCATGCTGCATCTGATTGAAACAGCAAAAACAACTCTGGTTACATTGGATACAAATTTTACAGTGCTGGTGAGAGAGATTCAGATAGACAAAAGAATGAAATGATAAAGCACACACTGACTATGTGCTGGCTCTCTTCCATGTTGCTCTCCATTGTTTACTTTCCTGATTTCTGTCGTACTGTTGACATCATCAATGTTAACCCTGCATGAAAATGTCGACAGACACGCAAAGGTGGGGAGACAGTTAGGGATTAGACCTACCGGTAGCTTATTTTTTTAATGAGAAGGGAGCCAAATGCTCATTGTTAGCGGGTTGATGTGTTATCAAAAACACGCATTAACCTGCTAATTTCAGAGGAAGGAGGGTTGAGGCAAAGCACACCATAAAGATAATGGATAAAGTATCAGCATAGATTATAAAGCAAAATCTGAGGTTTAAAGATGTCACAGATCACTGTTAAATACTCTGAAGGAAGAATGGAACAAAAATTGTCAAATAGAAAGCCTAAGAAGTCTTTTTTAGTCTACAATAAACCACATTATGACAAGCAAAAAAAACAAATTGTAAAACGGTGATGAGGTCAGATGGGGCGAGAAATAGCCTTTGGTCAGCAGGCAAAAGCTCTGGGTGGAAAAAAATACTGCCAGTCAGGAAACATGAAACAGGAGAAAGCATCATGCTATGGGGACTTCTTCCTCAGCATGGATGGGTAAACTGGACAGTGGGGAAGACTTTGTAAGTTTATCACACAAAATCCAGACAAAAAACTTGAAAGTATTGTTTTCATGTGATAAGAGGAAAACGTTCATTAGAAATTAACACTAAAAGCCTGATTTTTATAAGGTTTGCATGTCTTAAAACAAGTGCAAAATCATTTGTGCACTCTGAGCAGATCTTAAAAGCTGGTGCAAAGGGATTTGTATTTGCATTTCAGAAGACCGCGTGTGAAAAACTTTTTTGTTATTGCTTATGTCCCTTGATCAATATGAAGACGACCACACTGCACAAATTCATGGATGAAGGATATGCAAATGTGAACAGTAACCAACTGTAAAGGAATTTTCCAAAACGGAAACTCAGTTTTTCCATGTTTTTTTTTTTAACTTCTGAAAGTAAGATCAATCTGAAATGCAAAAAAAAATCTTAAGTCCTTGATGCCTCCTTGGCATTGGTATGATGCCATAGGACTGAGAGACATTTTGTTTGCACCTAAACACATTTTGATCATCATAAATTGTCATGGTCTTGGCGCTGATGGTTGGCATTTCCATTTGCTCCTGTTCACCTGTCCCATTGGCCCTGCAGCTGATTAACGCCAATTGTTTCCACCTGGTTTCTCAGCTATTTATGTGGTATGCCTACCTTCCGTCAGTGCCAGATTATTCTAGCTGTTTTGGCGAGAGTAACTCACGCAATCAAGTAAGTGACTTGTCTTTTTTAATCTGACCTGTTTTCTGCCTCTGTATTTTTGATTTTTGCCTTTATTCTGTCAGTTTGGTTTTTGGTCTGGCTTCCTGGATTCTGCTGGTTACCGGACTTGAACTGTGTTACTGATCTCGACTTGGAATCTCCTTGGATACCTCTTCGGCTCTCTTATCTCATGGTTTGTAAAACTGGTTTGAACTGTTCTTAGTCTTTCGATTATCCCTCATGGACTCCATGCCAGCTCCTCTGCACCCTAAAGATCTGAAGTTTGGTTGTGGTTTTTGGAACCAAATGCAGAGGCTGAGAGGCAGGGGTGAGTTCTTGCAGTTTTTAAGGCGGGAATCCAAAAATCCAACATGAAAAATGTAAAACAAACCAGAACCATGGAGACATCAGGGGAAAACAATCACTAGGAGCCAGGGTAAGATAGGAAAAGACGAGGTAAGATGAAGTAAGACGAGAAACCAGCCCTGATGAATTGCACAAGAAGAGTATTTATGGTAGACTGAACAAAGAGAGGACTAACGAGCAGATTGGGAGCAGGTGTGAAGAGAGCAGTCTGGGAAGGAGCTAGGGAAAAGAAGACCAACAACAGAGGGCAACAAATAAAAAGCTAAGAGCTCAAATATATCTAGAAAATACAACAAAATAAGAATTAAACCAATAAAACTAGAAAACATGGAGCAAAGTAAAACATAACAGAACCAAGACTGTGACACCAGGTTCCTCTCCCTCTGAATCGGACTGAACTCTCAACCAGGTCAGTGACCTTTTCTCCTAAGTTTCCTGTCTCTGCATAGAATCTGAAACCCACTCCGAAGACGTTCCACTGCTCTCAGTCTGTTAACCTCAGTGCTCTCTACTGTTTATTTAAACAAACTTCTTTCAAAACTGCCCTGTTTTATCTGCTGAATATTGGGTCCAAGCTTCTGTGGTCGTTACATAAATAACACTAGTAGAATAATATTATTAAAAAATCTAGACAAGCTGAACAATTTTTAAAGATTATTGTATAATTTTTTTAGATTGGCTACCTATATAATGTTCTCTATAAATATCATTAAGTAATATATTTATTATCCTTTCAATGAATTTTATCATTATTACCTCAATCTCCATGGCATAGAACCTCGTCCTTCTTTTACAACCAATAAAACAATTTATTAATTTATTTACAACCAATAAAACACAAAATCTGTCGATATTAATAGGCTGGAACCACACTACCCATCCTAACATTTGCAGAGCAATCTTTGTACTTCATCCATAACATGGCCTCTTATTGCATTTGCACATTATTTGTAATCTTTGAAGATCAGGCCCACAGTACACCACTAGAGATATGTAGAGATGATTTAATAAAAAACACCCAAAACAAATATGTACCAATAGTTACTTTATCTTTCACATATTATCAGACTTGGAAACCTTTAATTTATTCTTTTTGCTGCAGGGCAACTTTTAATTAGTCGTACCTACATTCATACATTTATGTGAATATTTGTGGCATTTTCAAAAGGACAAACTTAAAATCCAAAATTTGCAGCTTTTGTTTTTGTTCATTGTATTTATTTATTTTTTTACAGACATAACCGATTCAATGATAGCATCCTCTTGATCTCACATTTTTATATCACATCTT